AAGAAACTGAAACTATTACATTACGCTCGTGATTTTTGCATCGTTTTCATTTTATGACTCTGATTATTTGTAAAACATTCAAATCGTTACATTTGTTTCATCATTTTTGGATGTGGCTGCGAGTGTGGGAAGAATACAGATCTGGATCAATACTTAGTTTCACACCTGAAACTTCAGACATAGACTCACATCTTCTATAATGATCCGTTTCGTTTATCTAAATTCTAGTTGTTTCAATACTCATCCTATTTGACTTTAGCTCCCTTTGTTGTTATCATGAGTAGCACGGTGCTATCTTCACATCGATGAGAAATTCAGCTTTTTTCAGAGTTCTATCTAGAGTTCGTTAATGACCAATTATCGTAATCAGGGGTGTCAATTTACATTTACGTTTCATTTAATTTACGCGTAAAATAAATTGTCATATTTTTCTATGATAGTTAACGTAAGAAATATATTAGTCTTAGAATTATTTTTTTGGGGGAAGTTGTGTTTAAATCAATTAGGTTTGTTCATTTATAAAGAATTATTCCTAGCGAAATTTTTTCGTGGATTCCGTCTGAATTAAATTCTCACGTCGACTGCGAGATTCATCACGTTAGAGAAAAATGTACTCGCTGGCTATGTTAATGAGAATTAATTAGTTTCTTTTTTTTCTTCCTATTTTTGAATAATCTATGTTTCAACGAGTTTGTGGTACACGAGGAAAAAAATAAGGAGATGATACTGTTTACGTCCAGTGTGATAAAAAGCTCGCTAGACTATAGAATCGTCTCTATATTCTGCCTAGTCAGCCAAAGAAAAAAAAATCTATTATATCGTTTTCGTCATAATCTGCTCAATTCGTTATTTGAAAGTTTCAAATAAATTTACAATTCTCATATCGCAAGCATTTATTTATTCGATTTTAATGGCATCTTTGTCATCTCGATCATCAAAAAGTTCAAAAAAATCTGCATCATCAACTGCAAAGATTGTGCGAGTTGATGAAACTTTCAATACTCGCCAATCAAGAAAGAGTCCAAAGAATGCTTCTACTCCAGGTATTAAAAATGGCGGTATATCTCGACGACGATCTGCTCCAAGTTTCCATCGTTCAAGAAACTCACAAATACAATCAAAAATAACAACATCGCAAAGATCAACAAGTAATTCAGACCAACATGTAATGGGAAGCAACAATGAAGGTGAAGATGATAATATAGACCAAAATATTGATCTGTTAAATATTTCATCTGCATCAACAGCCACAGAATATATGGAAACATCTCAACAGCCTGATGATGATAATTCTCCTGCTTCAGCTGAAAGCCACAACCGAAATGGACGAATTATTTCAAAAAATGAACTATTGAATCAATATTTTACGAAACTTAATACTGGTGGTTATCTTTGCAAATTATGTGCTGGTACCGAAAATTCTAACAAGGTACGTTTATATACTCTAACATTGCATAGAAAAAAATCTTTTTCGTATACCTCTATTTGCAACACGGAGTTGTTTGTATCTCCAGAAGAGAGAAAAAAAACCTAACTTAAAGACAGAAAGAAAGCAGAAAAATATATCACATTTTAATATGAAAGAAGCAGTCAGGAAACACATTTTGCTTACATTTATTTTCTTATTGTATACACCAAAAGAGAAATCCACACATGAAATCTAGCTTTCATACTTAAGTGAAATCATAGTTACTCATTTGTATCAGACGATAAAAAAAATCTTTGTATACAAACGTGTTTAATGTAGAGCTTGATTTTTTAAAATATTATTTGACAGGGACATTATTAATATTCGTCCGATAAAAGACCAAAATTGATAAGTAGCGTAAAAGATGTCATAGATTTAAAGTTACTGAGTATTATCTTCTGCGAGATATGAACTTCACAATTGCGAAAAATCGCTTCAGTTTTCGCTCTTGTTTTTCTGAATACTACATTTGATCGAATTGAAACTTTTTTCAACAGTTACTAGACATTGCTTAGATTAAGAAGTTTTTGTTGGCCTTCATATTTTATTCTGGGAATAAAAAAAGTGAAAATGTCTAAAATACTATTAAAAAATGCTTCATTTTTTGAACAGCACTCCTTTTATAAGGTTCAAAGACAATAAGCAGAACCATAATTTTTGAAATTCAAAAAAAAACAATCCTCAGCACAAACTATGTCTAGCATGTGTGAAAAACATTTTAAGTAGATTTGAATAATCATGCCAGAAAGATGGGGACAACTACGCACTTTTTTCATCAAAAAGTCCTTTTGAAAAAAAGCGCAACTACGTCCAGGTTTTGCTATTACAGTTACATAACTTTGATTTCTTCTTTATTTTTTTACAGTTTAAAGACAATATTCAGATGCCAAAATTCACTTAATAGATATATATTATCTGAGACTACCACGGTCATGAAAGATAAAAAACGTAAAACACAAAACTCGTTAGTCAAGAAGGCAGAAAAACACTTTCAAAGTATTTGATAACTTCTTGTCTGGATGGATTCAATGATGCATCATTCTTCCTTTTATCTGCTAATTTTACAAAAATATAGTATTTTGATAAGGAAGATATCATGTTTCTTAACTTTTTGAGTTTATTATAATTTCAAAAAATAATATAAAACTTATTGAACTGTATTGCTATCTCTTTGAATACACTTTCTTGAACTGTGAAAATGGATGATTCAATTTTATTGAATAAGACTATGTCGTTCTGTAACTATCACTACTATTTTACCGCTAAGTCTCATGACAATTATGATCTTCAGCATCAGATCTGAGTTTCTTGAATTTATTGACATTTCTTGTTTTTTTTTTCTAATGTATATGCGAATGCTAATAATAAGAAATACTTAGTAATTTCTTTTGTTTCAGGTGCACAAAGAAGTAGCTAATTCTGATTCGAATTTACGTTTCCATTTGGCACGTCAACATAAACTTACACATGTGCTATATCCATCTCAACGTTCACGACAACAAGTAAAGCCACAACTTTTATCTGGTGATTGGAAAAAAAAATTAGATAATGCTCTGATATATGCCGTTATAAAAGACTTTCGTCCTTTTGGTGATTTTCGTAAGGCAGGGTTTCAACACTTTCTACAGGTTGTTTTGCCTGATACGAATTATAAAGGTCCACATCGTACAACGATCAGAAAACGAATGGCAGCTTTATATCGTTTATGTCGTAAAGCTTTAATCGATGAATTATCTTCTGTTAGCGATATTGCATTGACAGTGGACTCTTGGTCTAGTCCTCGTCGTGTTCATTTTGTTTGTATTACAGGACATTATTATGATAAAGAATTCGGATATTTATCTAAAGTTATATCATTTCGTCAATTTATCGGACGTAGTTTTGCTTTACGTATACGTCAATTTATCCGTTCTGAATTAAACAAATTAAAAATTAATAATAAAATTAGTTCCATTACAACAGATAATGAAGTAAGTTCTTACAGGTTCTACTCAACAGAATTAATCAGCACATGACTCAAAGATTTTTAGCTATCTATACGCAGTGGACGTCAAAGGTCTCGCATCATTTTTTTTTATTTCGGTTCGCCTTTCAAAGATGTACGACATAGATTCAAATTTCGTTTTACTTTTGAATAGCAGGGCTCGAGTACTATATGTATGCTTATGTTTGAAATGAATAATCCTTGAATCAAAAACACAGAAAAAAAAACTTCAGTATTACCAGAAAAGTTACCCAAAAAAAGACTAAATGGTATGATTGTTATCAGTTACAGAAGTTTTATTAAGATTGTATTAATACGAAAATTGAGTAAGATTTTGTTTGGTATTTTTACATAGGTCGGTACATCTCAACAAGCTCCACAAAACTGTCTATATCAAAACTTTTTAGAATCCCTCTCTGGAACAAAAATTTAAAATAAAATAGTGTTTTTATATTTTCTGGTATAAAAAATTCTCTGCTTTTCATATAGAACAAATAAAATATGTGATTATTTTGTAATTTTTTCATCCCAGAAAAGGTTTATAAGAGGAATTTAATGAAGACATTTTTGTAGAGTGTGTTCAGACCTATCGATTCATGTAAAAATACCAAACAAGAATTTATTCGATTTTCACATTACAGAATATTACTCAAAATCATAACAACTATAGTAGCTTATTTTTTTATGTAGGTTTTCTCGTAGTATTGAAGTTTGTATTTTTTCTGTGTTTTCGATTCAAGGATTATTCATTTCAAACATAAGCATACATATGCTACTCAAGCTCCGCTAGCTGAAAGTAAAAAGAAATTTGAATCTATGTGGTACATCTTTGAAAGGCGGATCAAAAGAAAAACGTGGAGCGAGACTTTTGAAATCCACTGTAGCTTTCTAAACAATGTAAAATTTTTATTTTATTATAGCCGAATATCAAGTTGGCAACTAATACGAAAGAATTCGGAATTCATATTCCATGTCTAGCACATGGGATGAATTTGACTGTGACAAATGGTCTTCATATTTGGGGTGAAAACAAGTAAGAAGATTTTGATTGTATCGTATTTTTCCCTTTTTCGCACAAAAGTAATATTAGTACATGTTCAAATTCAAATTTCGTGATTTTTCCTACATAGTATGCTATGCGACATTTTTCTTGATAATATATTCATCAATCTTCCATAAATATTCAATCTCAATAGATGCTGATGAGTCTATTTGTAATTCATAATAAATTAGAGCATTGAAAACTTCAACCTGTTTATTTGAGTCTACACTAAACATAAATGCATAGAAACCCTTCTTTATCGATTCTAGGCATAAATTTATCATCAGACTCACCAACATTGAGAAAGATGATCAAAGAAATTATAACATTGGGTCAAAAGTTATTTTATATTGGGACCCAGCTAAAGATAGCTAAGATGAAGCAATAAACTTATAACACTATTAGCTGCTTTTTTTTAACAAGCAGATCTTTCACAAAACTGTTTTGACCAAATAATCATACTTTGTAACATATTTACTTATATAAATTGTGACTTGCGGAATATTAAATTGCTCTGTTTGACATTGCTATCCACTTGCCGAGATGGAGGATGGGGAAGCCAAAGTTTCACGGTAGAAGACCAGTTTTTAGTCAGTCGGTACAACACTGCACGCTAATAGCTAGGTTATTGATGATCAATAGTGATATGTCTGAAAAATGCCGCATAACATACTATGTAGGAAAAATCACGAAATTTGAATTTGAACATGTACTAANTGATCGGATTTTGTGGATTTATTTTTGATGAATTTTGTTCGAACGAAGGTATAAAATGTTTCATTTGAGCTTCAGAAATTCGTCGCATTAATACACTTGTTTTCATGCACATTTGCAAGAAAATAAATCGTCCGGGTTGATTTATACGAGTTTCATCAACCGTTTGGTCTTTGTTTAACATCTCACTGTTGGACATAATTCCTAAATGAAATCCGCACATTTCGGCTATTTTGAACTCTTACTCATTGTTGACCGCTTTCCGTTCAGCCTCTCGCCTTTTTGCATTGTCCACTTTTTATCAAAACTTTTTTACATGATTAGGAATGATATCACTATAGTCTTTTCAGATCGAAGCGAACTGAACAAAAACGCGTTTGCAAAAGGCGATCTCTAGAGGCGAACACGTTTTCTTTCCGTTTATCTCGACCTGGATTAGAACTCCAGTGATCTTTCATAGTTTTACTGAAGTACTAGGCAAAGTTCTATAGTACATTTAACTCCTCATACAATATTAAAGACTCATATCACAGTTTGTTGGTGATATAAGTTTATTCTATTTAATATGACCAGTGACATTTATTAGCCATTTTTCTGTTTGAAAATATTTCAGTAATTTGAAAACTCTTCCATTATTAACAAAACAAATAGAAAAAATAAGTGAACCCTTGTCTAGTCATAAAAAGTCGGCAGTTATCTTCTGTAAAGATGAAATGAAGAATATTAGTTTGAATGGACTAGTTGATTTGATCTATTATTGGTCAGGGATATCAGACTTAGTTATTCGAAATCAAGATGATTGTCTCTGTCAAATATCTTTCGGTCGATCTCTGCTTGGTCAATTTTCTAAATGCATATGCAAATTTCCTCGTCTTTATATACGATTTTCTTTAAAATGTCTCTCTTTGTGTGGACATCATTTATGTATGAGATCTTGTCAATAGCCAAATAAAAATCATTCGGATTTATATTCGATTTTATCTGTAATAAACTTTTTTCACATAAATATGTAATAAGATCATGTACAGTAGTTTCTAACCGATACGGAACATCCATTATTTCACCGGTCATCCTAACATGAATTGGTATGACGTTGGACATTTTGTCTTTGATTATCTATAAAAGAGAAGAAGAAGAAAAAAACGTTGAACGAAAACTAATCATATGAAAAATGCTTTGATATTGCGTTTTTTTCGTTCCTGCACTGTCGAATGACTTCCTAAAGTAAAATTAAAAAGTAATTGAGACGAACAATTGGTTTTTCTTTCCATGTTACACAATAATAAATCAACAAACTTTTCTATTATAACAATATATGAAGTAGCTTCAAACTGCTCATTTCTTTTCTCAACACACACCTTTGGTGCACATGCACATGATCGTTTGGTTTGCTTCAAAGTATTTTTATATGATAGACAGAACGAAGAACGATGTAAATTGCATTTCTTATCAGACCCAACATCCTTGCCTCTTATATTTACTTTAGGTATGTGTTGGAGTGAGAGTGAAGGCGAAGAAGAAACAAAACAATTTGTCAACCCATGGAATAACAAATGGAAAAAAAATGATGACTTTTGTGTAAAAAAAACATGGAAAAAATGCCATTTTTGATTATGAAACGGACAAAAATATTGATGTATTTCATTTTCATCGATTAAAATGAAGATTTTAATCAATCTCATATCATGATTTTGATTTCTAATGAAAGTCATCGAATGAAAGTGATTAAAAATCAAAATCACGAAATGAGATCGATGAAAATTTTTATTTTAATTGATGAAAATGAAATACATCAATTTTTTGTCCGTTTCATCATTGTCACAATGATTTTTTTTTTATTTTTTTATTCCCTGGGAAGGAAAAGTTCTGCTATTCAATTCTATTTCATGTCTAATATGATTGTACAATTCTAGAAAATAAGTGTAAAATCCGAAAAAAACGATATGACTTTGTGCTGCATATGTCAACGTCAAGTATACGCAACGGAACAATTTAAGTACGATGAAAAGGTATGATTCATCGATATATATGGAATATCAAACTATAGCTTGTTCAGGTATTCTAAGTTGAAATAGCTTAGATGGCAAGTGCATGTCGAATAGCACCAGAGTATATGCAACGGACAACAAATGATTTTTTTAAATCTGGAATATAGAGTTAGATAAGTAAATCCATCGTACTAAAACTATTCTAGTCTTCGATTTATAATGGATTTCCAGAGTTCTACGAAAAAGTGCGGTTTTAGAAGCTGATGGAATGAGCACCTTTCAAAATTTACGGATAAATTGAAACGAGCAGACATTCTTAAAATAATCCTAGGTACGGAAAATTATTTGCTGACTACAGCTTCGAAAACTATATTCATCTTATTAAAACTTTTCAAAATCTATTTTTCAGAGTTTCTCAGAACTTTTTATTACAAAAATTCTGGTTTTCAAATCTCATGTTAGAGTATTGTTCTGGGTAGTGAGGATTTTTGTAGAATATTCGCTTATCAACCATTCTCTTAGTCCCAAATTCTTCTAGAAAAAATTTAAAAATCCTTCGTCTATTCAAAATTAGCGTAGCTCTATTATGGATACAAACACGAGTGTCCAGAAAGCACCAAGATTGGAGTAAGGTTTAGGGGCGTAGTGATGCCTCCGAAGTAGGGGGTATCAGCAAGTAGAAGTATGTCATGCCCTGAGATTTCAAAAGAAGAGAGAGTGGGACACCCCTAGTCGCCAGGTCTCTAGTGGGGTTCGACGACTAATGCGATCAGTTCGAAGATTTTTGATGAAACTGACCAGTTTCGAAAGATTGGTGAGTAAAAAACTATAGAACTATAGATTTCCGTTGGGGGAAAAACGAAAATTTCGTAAAATCAGATGTTTCCCGTTTTGGACAAATAAACCGTTTGAATGCTCTGGTACTATTCAATGCTCACTGATTACCAACTTGCTTGTGAAATGAGTAGTAGCTTTTTCTATCCTTATTGAACTGAATTCATGATAAAACACATTCAACAACAGATATATCATATGCAATGTTTCAAATGCACACAATGTGGCGTCAAGTTACGCCTGGGTACTGTGCGTAGTTTTAACAAACAGGCTTACTGTGAAAAGTAAGTAAAGATGTTTTTATTTGAATAAGTTCGTCTCGATTGAAACTGTGTTTTAAAGGCATTCACCAACAGCAAATAGAGAATCCGTGATTTCACAGCAAAATGAAGCATACCAAACGTTAAGTAAAGTAAGTTCATATATTTTTGTTTGCAACAATATGAAAATGCGTTCGAATTTAAAATCAAATAGCTTATCTTCGAAAATTTTCTTCTTAGCTTTGTGCCCGAAATTTATTTCCGTTGTCGCTTTTATCACCAAAACAAACAACCTGATCCAATTGCCTTTGTACCAGTTAAACATTCAGAAAAAAATCAATTTTTTCATCAGTCTCATTCTACAACTTGCTCAATAAATGAAAAATGACGGACAATGCGATGCACATCTAAAGTTTCAACTTAAATTTTTCTTGAGAGTTGAATTTTGAGCAGTCGAAAATCGATTTTATTCTGACAATACTTTCAAACGATTTTCAGTCATAGAGTTGATATGCTTTTTCGCTGTGAAAAAGATTCCTCCTCTGACTGTTGACTATTTTGAAAAAGGTACAGTTACCATAGTAGAGTAGAAAAGGGTTGTTGTACAGATATTAGCGTAATCACCACGGTCTTATTTGAGGAGATACTTCAGAAGTGAAGCGTTTTGCCTTCTCACTAGCGTTTGCCCATGTAAACATTTTTTGCCAATTTAACGAAGTCTCATGACGTGAGAATTCGTTAAAAATTTCACGATTTCACGATTAAATATGTTACAATTTTGATCATGAAAACGCGTTAAAAGTGCGCGAAATTAACGCGTTTTTTTGAAGTTCTAACGCTTTTTTTTCCCGTTAAATCGGTAAATTTCTAATGATTCTTCACGCGGTGATTTATCCAAAAAACGCGAGAAAAAACGTTAAATAGGCAAGCTGATATATACATTATTGTTCGGCCTTTTTCATACATTGTTATTGACCGCAAGTATGAGGAACTTCCTTCAGTGATCGATATATTGAGCTTCATTCGTCTGAAGAGGAATATCCAACTAAATAGCTCAATATTGAAAATACTTACTAATACGATGCTTACGAAAATCTTTTTATCACTACAATTATTTCGTAACAGATAACAAAACCACTCATGAAGTACAATACTTTTTTTCTTTTATCGATATCTCAAAATTTAAACTAGTTGTGTCTCCTCGCTACAATTTTGAATCTGTATATTTGCTAGAAATGTATATCATAGCATGAGAGAAATGATAAGACTATACTGGTTTAAATTTTGAGATATCAATAAAAGAAAAAAAGTATTGTACTTCATGATTGATTTTGCTATTTATTACAAAATAATTGTAGTGATAACAAGACTTTCGTAAGCTTCATATTAGAAAGTACCTCCAATATTGAACTGCTTAGCAAGATATCCCTCTTTAGACGAATGAAACTTAAGAAGATATTGATCATTAAAGTAAGTTCCTCATACTTGTAGTCAATACCAATGTATGAAAAATGCTGAGCAATAACGTATATATCAGCCTACGTACTTTGTTGAGATGAGCAAGTCAGTGTTTTTCATATAAGATGCAAACTTTGTGAGCTAAAGAGCCAATTTATTTCAACTCAATAGAAAAATACTCCGAAAAATCTCGAGTTAAACTACATAAATAAATCTTGAGTTTTCAGAAAAAAAAATAGTTCGTTTACTTAAATGTACAACTATACTATTGTTGGCTTTGAATTTGTCTATTTTCTTTACTTTTATAACTAATTTCTTCTCAGTTAGGAATTATCAGAAAAGAAACAGCTAATAACTTTTGTTTCTATTTGGGTCTGTTCTCATGCGAACAAAATGAGAAATCAAATGCAGGAATGAGCGACACAGAAATATATGAGTTAAAATTAATTCAAAAATGACCAGACTTACCTCGATTCATCATTGGCTATCTTTCACAGGATAATGTTGCTTCAAAAATTTGTTTCATGTAAAGAAGGATTTTAATGATATTGAATAATAAAAATGCATTATAAATATATGACATAATCTCAAACACTTGTCAGTAGAATACAAAGGAGCCAAAAATTAACTATAGATGGCAGTAATTTTGAAAACATCTTGGAAATATCTTAGTTTCAGATATCAATTCAAATATAGTTAATATGAGAAAATCTAATTTGATTTTCTGTACATATTCTAGTACATTCGGAAAATTTGTCATTATTCATTTCTCATCGAAGACCAACACGCAACACTATATCGGTATGAACAGGAAACAAGGAACTCTCAAATTCTATTCTGGTGCTACTCAGTGATAAAATCTGCATAATGCTAATTTTTCGACTGCATTAGAACTTTTACAGAAACTGAAATTAAATTTACTCTTTATAATTATATGAATCCATAATTGCTCTTAAAATAAGTCAAGAATATTTTCAAAACTAGCGCCTTATACAATACATTTTCATTTATACCTTAAGAGTGTCTTCTGATGAAAACTATTCTTGATAGTTTTGAAATTCGAAGAATTAAGCATCGTTTTTTTGTACAAACTTCGCTCTGTCGCTCTAAGATTCTTCAAACATATGCCTCTTATCATCTTTATTACCAGATCGTGCCACCAGCGCAACTAAGGAGCCCCAGTCATCAACCTAGTCCAAAATCCTGATTCTGGTGCTGATTCGAGCACTATTAATAGAATGCGTTATAATAGGGCGTGCCCCCATATACATGAGATGACGAGAATGTGAATCATTTTTCTACTCACTTATACGGGTGGCATATAATGCAAGTGGGAAATTTAAAGTTCTACACGCGTGAAAACTAATGCACCATTTAACGATATTTGGTGCGATAAGATCCGTTAAAAGCAACATAACTCAAGAAACATCTTTAAAATTCCTCACCGGCGAAAAACGAATGCAACATTTAACGATATGTAACGAGTTAGTTGCCGTTAAAAAGACAATCACGCGTGAAAAAGGATGAAAAATTTAACACGTTTTCCAGAATTTTCGAAATTTAACGGAAGTTCATGAAATTTTCTTCGTGAAACTTCGTTAATTTGTCTTCTAACGCAACTTTTGGCGTTAATTCTAACGCTCGCTTCGTTAAATATCTTTTTTTATTTTTACATGGGCGGTTGTGCACGGTAGTATGCCTCAGAATTGACAAGTTGGGCTTATGCCGCTAAGTGAGACCCTGTATGATAGGTAGGCCAGGGCAATTATACAATAAAAACCATCGGATATGATAGAATGCGAACAGTTGTGCTCTTGCAGAACTCTGAGAAAGCGGCAAAGACATAATTGTAACAAAAGTAGTTCCAGAAAAGTTCAACTATCTATGTACTGGCTCCGTAATGAAAAGCTCAAAAAGCAGGATAACTGTTGCGTTTTTCACGATGATTGTTCTACTAGTTAAGAGTGCACCTAAAATCTCTTTCATTTTTTCTGTTAATCTCGACAATTTGAAAAGGTTCAGATAGAAGATAATGTTTTTCAGAACAATGCACCAACCAACCAACCTGTTGTCGAGGTAATTGTACCTCAAACTATGGAATCTGATAAGAGTGAAGAGCGACAAACAAGTTCACAATCATTATTACAATCTTCTGAGCCTGAACATGTAGAAGTATCTTCGACAGCAATCGCTCGTAATGACGTACTTGCCACTGCCTATGACACATTTCAATCGCAAGTCGAAATTGCTGGTCAAATTTTCACAACTGATCTTGATATTCTTAACTATATATTAACTATGTTCAGTGAATTCAATATTATCGTATGTGGATCACCACGTGTTGGTAAATCAACATTAATCAATGCCATATGTAGTCAGACATTAGCTGAAACGAGTCCCGGTCTCGATTCATGTACTCAAGATATAACGTGTTATGCACTCACCGATACATGCTATATTAATAATCAATGGATAAATTACACATACAATTTTTGGGATACACCAGGCTTTGAAAATTGGAATGAGAATGATATTCGTAAAAATGTTGCACAAATTGTTGAAAAACCAGGATCAGATCCATTGTGTATGATCTTTTGTGCTGCACCTGGTTCATTTGCTAAAACAGAACAATTAAAATGGTTACTAGATATTTGTATTCAAGAACGAAAAATCTTTTGTGCACTCGTGGTAACCAATAAATGGGCTGGATTACAGGATAAACGTATGGCTATTTTAAATAAATATAAAGAACTTCTCTCTCACTACCATCCACAGACGTGTGAAGAAAAACAAGGAATAACTTATTTTGGTAACGTAGGTCTATGCACTATGGTTAATGCGCAACCGTATGTCGATGAAGAACAAGGTATAAACAAACCACAACAGGGTATTGATGAATTACTGGAAGGTATTATGACATGTTTGAATAGTGAGGGCAAAGTGTTTCATTGGTGCATGGCAACGATGCAAAAGAAAGGACTAGTAGATAGTTTGATGGAAAAAATGAAACACATTTTTCCTAATTTGCAAGACTTCTTGACGGATTTGTTCACAAACAAGAAAAGCGTTCGTTAATAATTTTTCGTGAAATTCTGATTCTTTTTCTAATTTCATTATTCATTGGAAAAATATATCTATAAACTATTTTCTGACCATAAAAAATAAGAGCAAAAATCTAATGCAAATCTTTATGTTGAAAAGCATCATCAAACAATTGGTTGAGTTTTATTTACAACGAAGTCAAATAACAGCGGTTAACTTGTTATCTGTATCAGAAATGTTAAAGGCGATATGGGAGTCAATAACATTAGTTTTTACGTAACTCTCCCCCTCAAAAGAAAAGATATAGACGAACCGAGACAGATTGAGAATGAAGAGCAAATGTTTGTGTTGTCTCAATTGATTGATGCATGTGCTCCAATGTTGTTGATGTCGCGGTTCAGTAGGAAAGCCCGATGTATGAATGAGAATGATCAAATCATATATAAATTTGACGACAAATGCACGGGTGAGTATGGTGGCGTGTGAATTTCGGTGAAGAAAAGGTCGACACCCACACCGACACCCTTCTCGCAGGTGTAGGTCTGAATATTCTCTTAACGTACACTCACCCACATCACACCCACACCCACACCCGCACACCCACACCCACACCCACACACCCACACCCACCCCCACACTCACACCCACATCCACACCACACACCCACACCCACACCCACACCCACACCCGCACCCACACCCATTTCTCTCTGTTAAATTCGTTGGTTGAAAATTTCCGAATTCTGCAACTCTCATATTACAAGCATTTATTTATTCAACTGAAATGGCATCTTCGTCTTCTGATGGATTAAAACATTCAAAAAAAATGCATCACAAAATGCACAGACAATGCAAGTTGATCAATCTCTTAGTAATCGGCAATCAAGAAAAACTCCTAAAGATTCTTCTGCATCTGGTGTTAAAAATGGAGGTATATCTCGACGACGATCTATTGCAAGTTCTCGTTATTCAAGAAGCTCAAAAATACAGTCAACAAAAGCAACATCACAACGATCAAAAAGTAATTTATGTGAACATATACAAATTAATGATGAAGATGATGGTGATAATGTAGGTCAAGCTATTGAACAATTAAACATATCGTCTACTTCAATCGCTACGGATAATATGGATGTATCACCCCAGCACCATGATGATCATTCAGTCACTTCCATTGATAATAACAATCAAAATGAACGACCAATAAAAAAACATGAACTATTAAATCAATATTTTACGAAACTTAATACCCGTGGTTATTACTATAAACTATGCGATGGTACTAAAAAGTCTCACAGGGTGCGTTTATATGCTCTTACATCATAGAGAAAAAAATTATTCAACTTAGCATTCGTTTTCTTTATCTACCACTTTGACAAAGACTTGACTTTTTCATAACGAAGGCGTTTTTCCTCATTTTATAAATTTACTGAAGTAATAGCAAAAATAGTACAGAATTTTTCAACAGTAATATCGCCTTTTTAAACGCATTTTCATGAGCTATGCAAAGAGCTAGTTAAATTTTATTGAGTAAAATTATGCGCGCACTTGTACTATCACTAATATTTTACCACAAAGTCTCTTGATAATTAATATAATCAATATCATACACCAGTTTTTTGGATTTGCTTATATGCCCTATGTTTTCTTAATATACGTATGTGAGAGTAGTAGAAAAGCGCTTCCTCATTTTTTTATCTTAGGTTCCCAAACAAGCAATTTATTCCGATGCTAATTTACGTAGCCATTTGGCTCGACAGCATAAACTTAAACATGTGTTATATCCATCTCAATGTTTACAGCATCAAATAAAACCACAACTTTTATCTGATGATATGAAAAAGAAAATAGACAATGCTTTAATCTGTGCCATTATCAAAGACTCTTGTCCCTTTGGAGATTTTCAGAAGGCCGGGTTTCAACATTTCCTGCAAGTTGTTTTATCTGATACGAATTACAAAGCTCCACATCGCACTACAATAAGAAAACGTATGGCAATTTTATATAGGTCGTACCGAAAAGCATTAATTGATGAGCTGTCTTCAGTTAGTGATCTTGCATTGACAGCGGATTCTTGGTCTAGTCCTTGTCGTGTTCATTTTGTTTGTATTACAGCTCATTATTATGATAAAGAATTTGGCTATATATCTAAAGTAATATCATTTCGTCGATTTATTGGACGCAGTTTTGCTGTACGTTTACGTCAATTTATTCGTTCGAAATTGAAAAAGTTAAAAATCAGTAATAAAATTTGCTCTTTCACAACTGACAATGGAGTAAGTCTTTGCATATTTTCATTGTACAGAACTAATTAGTATATGGATTGACAGTTTTGAGCTAGCAATATATTTTCTTAAACCATACAACATTTTTCATTTTGTTATAGCCCAACATCAAATTGACTGTTAATACCAAAACAATTTGGCATTTGTATTCCATGCATAGCGCATAAAATTAATTTGACGATAACAAATGGTCTAGGTCTCTGGAGAAAAAGCAAGTAAGAAGTTTTTGATTGTATTGCAGTGCTCGTTCTTTTTTGCAAAAGGCAACTGATACCAGTTGATTTTAATATTTAGATTTTTCGACTTCTTAGAAATAATATTTTTTGGGACTTCATATGTTAATTACATATTGTTCAGTGCTTCATTATTGTTCACTCTGGATAGGTGTCAATAAGTCTAGGTGGAACTTACACAGAAATGGGACCAAAGGCTTAGATTATTTAGCTTAATTTATGCTAAACATATATGCATTGAAACTCCTTTTCATACTCATTTAAGACATAGATTTATCGATAGATTATCCAGTAACGGAAAATACAATTAATGAAATTATTATAGATTCAAAAGTTAAGTTACATTCCAATATAGCTAACGATAGCTAAGATTGAATAACTGACTTATCACATCATTAGTTATTATTTTTGACAAGCAGATCTTACACAAACATGTTTTCACCATCGAATGACACTTTTCTTGCAATGTATATCAATACTAGAATTGATTCTACCGATTACTAATGTAAAAATCACAGTAATCCTGTGACTCTTAAAGATGTGACATGGATTGAATCATGAATATTTCTCTAAAAAGATCACTGATAAAAAGTCACTTATGAATTTTGATTTATACTATAGTGGATTAGCTGATGAAATATTTACAGTAATGCCTTTCCGAAACATCTCAGTTTTCAATTTCAAGAACTAAGATCAATTAGATGACGAAAAAGGATAAGATATATATAAGTTCTTTTTCGATTGTTTTCTCAGGATGAAATCGCTGAAAAGTAACCTATATTATAAACTGCATTTCTTAGTCTATTTACTGTATTTTCATCTTCATAAATCGTGTCATACCATGTAAATGTCATGCTACTTTTGCGATTTTTTCGAACACCTCATATTAAAAAAACATTTTAACTCATAATATCCTAGATTTTGAATTACAATCCATTTTGTGTGTCTCTTTCGAGTGATGATTTGAGATTATAATAGCCAATATTTGTTGGCTGTTTGCCAGATATTTTTCTAACTTACAGTCTAGTCTTCTCTTTAACATCAACTACCTCGGTATCTCTACTTTGATCAATATGCATTGCAATTCATAGAATATTGATTTGCTCTCTTTGACGTTGTCTTTCACACACCAATGTGTAGAATGGAGAAGCCAAAATGTCATTCAAAACAAAGTTTTGAGTCAGTATGCACAACAATTCACGCTAATAGCTTAGCTGTGGGCGTTGACAATTGACGTGTTTGAGAAAAAGCATTTTTGTGGATAGTTGATCGACTAATTCACTATAATATAGATTAAAGAGAATTTTTGGTAAAAGATCTTTTCAGAAAAAAGATAGTTCAGTCAATCTCATATCTTTACCAGTCATAGGGTCTCTGCAAACTTCATTTTAGTAATCAGTAGAATGAACCGTACTATTTATATACATTGCTAGAGAAGTGTTATTCAATGGTAAAAACAATTTCATAGTTATGAGTTTGTTCAATTGCATATGCTCATTTATTATCTTGATAAATAGTACACTAGAAATATGCGGGTGCAAATGAAATAAAAATTCTTTTTTATTGTTTATTTATTTAATTTAATATATTGTTTTTTCAAGTGCAAACATGATAAATATACTATTTTGATCCCTATTATTCATCAAAGGTCAAGGGCAGATAACGTAAAAAATTCACTTTCACTTTTTGACTTTTTAATCAATAATACTCAACAGTATGAGATAGCTTGCTATTGTTTTTATTGATCTGTATAAATTTGATGTGGTTTCATTTATCATCATGTGCTAAATATTGATTTCCTATGAAAAATTTTGAATACTTAAGCAACAAACGACAATTGGGTTGACATCGTTTATCATCAATTTTATAGAGAATAGCAATAACAAGTTATTTCATCCTTTTGAATATTACTGTTTAAAAGAGTGAAAAAAGAAAAATGATACTTTTAAGTTATCTGTCCTTAGTTTCTAATAAATAGTAAAGATCGAAATACTATGTATGGCTCATGTTTTTACTTGAAGAGAAAACAACATATTTCACGAAATAAATAAATTATAAAACTAAAAAACTTATTCCGGTTGCACTCTTATATTCCTGCTGTATATCAAGTTTCATGATTAGTTGCGCTGTAGGAGCTTTAAAGCAAAGCATTTCTTCTTTTGCTTACAACATATTGACCATTAACCAATTCTGAATGAAATGAAATGAAGAGAGAAGAGGAATTTTTCTTTTTCTGCTGATATATTTTAGAAAGTTCGTTGCTTAAATTTTCCTATATTTTCTAGAAAACGTTCTTCTGTTCAAATTACAACGCAAGAAGAAAAAGAAGAAGAAGAAGAAGAAACTGGTTATACTGATATGGATGATGAAGACCAAATTTGGGAAGATGATATTGAAAGTAATGATTCAAATGGCAGTGATGTTTCAGATGGAGAATCAACAAATGATTATTCTAATAATGATAGTCCTGATTATGAAGATTCCTGTCCAGAAGATAGTGATAAGGATGAAGAATCACTTAGTCAACAACCATGACATGACAATTATGTTGAAAATGAAAGTGATTATGCATTAATGCCGAATTCAAAAGAATTTATTTACAATTTACTACAACGAACACGTATACTAATTACTGCAATACATCGTTCTAGTAATCTCGATAAATACGTTCGAGATCAAATTTATTGTAAACAACGAGAGTCGAACAAACGCTCGAAAGAAGATAATACTGAACCTATATTGTACAATGAATTAGTTCTGGATTTTCGAATACGGTGGAGTTCTACCTTCAAAATGATACATCGATTTATTAAATTAAGTTCCATATTAAATGATGTTACATTTACACCGAAGAATATTGATGGTATGGAATCTCAACAAGTTTTAAAATTATCAAAGTTAATATTCAGCCATGATGATTGGAATTGGCTGTCAGCATTGGAATTTGTACTTGAACGTTTTGAACAGTCAACTTCTCTTTTATCTGGTACAACTTACCAAACACTTTCGTTTGGTAAGATGATACTAAATGGTTTGAAGCATTTCCTATCGAACCAAAAATCTGATGAACCAATGGTAAATCATTTAAAAATGTTGTTATTAAAAACGTTTGAAGAATATTGTGAAAAAAAATGTAACTGCTGAAGCTGAATAAGCAATACTTCTAAGTATATTACATTCGCCTTAACAATATATTTTAATTCAGTGTTGTAGATGCAATCATATAGCTAAGTATGGGTTAAAACATTTATCTCAGGTCTATCTATTACATAAGAATAGCGTTCACTATACTTAGACAATCGTTATCTTTACATATGCAGATCTAGGTAATTGCTACAGATGTACGCAACTGGGAGCAAGAAAAAAGCTTTGTCGAACCCGAGCTGCAATCCAAGGCTTATGATGTCATTAATACTGCCTCTTTTCAAGTGAAGTTTTTCCTATATCATAAATCAATCTATTATTGCCATTATATTTTTTAATACAAACACAAAAGCATATCATAATAAGACATGTGTGAGATCAGTTTCGGAATGACCATTAGGAGCAGAGAGAGGACAATGAAAAAAAATTGCCAAGATAAGTGATCAAGTTTATGGTGGCATATTCTATGATTTTAAGCAGATTTCATTATAAATCAGATGAATCAGAACATGATATAAGAGAGATAATTCAACGAAGTGCTTGTCCCGGACTAACTAAATAAAAAAAAGAAGTATTAAGAATCGTTTTAGATGTGATACTACCAAATTCCCGAATTGCTTCCTCTGGATCGCGGCAGAACCTAGCACCAAAGCAACTTAGATTCGCACATTGCTAGTCACTGCTCATATGCTGTAAACTATTATAAGTAAATATAAGTACAGCCACAACAAGATAACAGAAAAATGTCACTATGTTCTAAAAGGAGCATTCAGTTCAAAAGTATCTATTAGTATTTTTTTTCTCCTATTATTTACATAGATTGCTTCTTTTCTAAATCCAACGACATATTTCTGTTTACAACAAGATGAAAAATTCATTAAAAAGGCAAAACAATTGATTGTATTAAAATCGAAAGGTGAAAAATTTGCATCAACATCTTCATTTTCATCAAATTCAACACCTTTAACAAGATCCATTCAAAAAATCATGAAAAAACCATTATTGGCAATAGAAGCATTTTTGTCGAATTGGCAAGCACCATTATCATCATCATCTTCAACAACGTCATCAAAAAAATTATATACCGTTCAACAAGAAATTGGCTATTACATTTCTTCTATTGACAAAGACACCGAATTTCAAGAATATTGGAATAAAATTCAACATCATTTACTAATATTAACTCGTATGGTTCGACATTTTTGTATTATGCCAATAACATCGGTTGCAAGTAAGAGTGCATTTTCAATGGCTGGATACATTCCACGAAAACAACGTTCCTCTTTGTCTGCAACAACTTTACGATACTCTATGTTATTGCGAAATTTAGAAGTACACCATATTAATTCGAATTAAATAAACAAGAAATGTTATTATTATTTTCATGACTTTTTATGCTACTATAATCATGATATAAAAATGTTTGAATGCTATTTGTGCTTTTTTCAAATGAGGTAAGTATTTTTGACTGATAAGACTAAAATTTAAGTTGTTATTATTAGTAATGATTCCTATGACAATCTCAAAATAATGACTTTTGATTTCCATCCTATATTAAAATTTTATAATCTTATGAAAACTAATAAAACATAAATTTTATTATTGTTTTAATTTGTCTGAATAGATGAGACTTTATAACATTCATCTTTCATTGTTACTTTGAAAATGTTCCACTTTCATCTTCGCAATCAAGATACATACATGCTTTTCTCTAAAATAGGTTGTTTTTTTGAACATCGGAAACTGTGATGGCCGCAGATTTGAAGAACGAATTCATAGTCTTCATGGCTATCACAGTTGGAAATATAAGATTGTTTTCAAATAGCATTCTAGGTCAATTGCTTACAAATTAATAGTGAGAAATGCGATTTAAAGCTTATTTTATCGAAAAACTATAAAACTATAAAAGAGGAATTTTATTAGTCTTTTTTCGAGATTAGAAAAATACAGTGTAAGATAGAAGAAAAAAGTCAACGTTTCGAGATCCAATCGTAGAAATCATTACTATACAGAAATAAGAACTTCGACTTTTCTTCTACCAGTTGACGGAAACAACAAAGCTCACTAAGATACAATGAAAGTACTCAAACACTTTTATATTATGACATAAGATTTTCTATGTATATGTTTTTCTTTAATATCTGATACACTTAAAGAAGCTGTTCATGTGAAGAAGTCAATAAATTACACAAGAATAAGCATGATATACCTCCAAATATTTTTCATACATTTTAGAAAAATTAATTCTCCACTTCTGGTACATAGTTATCGAAAATCGAGCATTTTTTTTCTTGTGTTTACACTGTGCAAACCTCAAAGAAAGAGTTTCAATGTTCCCGTTCTGGAGAATTCCGCTCCTAGGAACTTAAAAATCACTCACATTGCGTTTTCTAGCATTATTATAGCGTACTGAGATTTGTACACTTCTTTGCTTATCTTTTTCTACAAGCGTTATTCGTTTTCCGTTCCTAAGCACAAAAAGAAAAAGTGACATTCCTATTAGAAACTGTTGGTTGAATGAAAATGATGTATAATATATGAATTATAGATGAATATAATGTTTAAAAATAGGATATATTTCTTGCCTAAAGTATCATGAAGAAATATGGTAATTTAATTTAATTATTATTTAATAAATTATAAAAAGCGAATCATTTATATTTAAAATAATTTAAATTTCTTATTATTTATATTTAAAATAAATATAACTTATGACTATTTATATTTATAAATAAATATAAATATTGAAGAAAAATATTTATATTTAAAAATAAATATAAATAAGAAAAGTTAAATTTATTATAAATATAAATTATGACAAATTATATTTATTTTTAAATATAAATTATGAAAAAAAATATTTATATTTATTTTAAATATAAATTATTGATAATTTAATTTACTCGTAAATTAAATTAAAAGTAAATATCAATTGACACCCCTATCGGTTCTGTTGTTGTTGTTGTCGGTTTTGTTGTTGTTGCTGTTGTCGATGTTGTTGTAGTTGTTGTAGTTGTTGTCAGTTTTGTTGTTGTAATTGTCGATGTTGTTGTCGGTTTTGTTGTTGTAGTTGTTGTCCGTTTTGTTGTTGTAATTGTCGATGTTGTTGCCAGTTTTGTTGTTGTTGTTGTCGATGTTGTTGTCGGTTTTGTTGTTGTAGTTGTTGTCCGTTTTGTTGTTGTAATTGTCGATGTTGTTGTCAGTTTTGTTGTTGTTGTTGTCGATGTTGTTGTCGGTTTTGTTGTTGTAGTTGTTGTCCGTTTTGTTGTTGTAATTGTCGATGTTGTTGTAGTTGTTGTAGTTGTTGTCAGTTTTGTTGTTGTAATTGTCGATGTTGTTGTCAGTTTTGTTGTTGTTGTTGTCGATGTTGTTGTCGGTTTTGTTGTTGTAGTTGTTGTCCGTTTTGTTGTTGTAATTGTCGTTGTTGTTGTTGTTGTAATTGTCGATGTTGTT